AAGGGGTAGAAATACCATGCATTTGACTCACTTCCTTCTGGGATGTGTTCTCTTTCTCTTTGAGTTCATTCTAAAATGATGGAATTTTATGGATAATTCTGCTTCCCACAGTCCCTCTGAGACCCCTCTCTGTTGGAAATAACACTATTGTGATGCAGATGCCCCAATACCCTATGGAATCTCAGACTCTATAAATGGCTGACCACAGGATATCCCCTTTACATGAATTTCAATCTGTGTTATTAAAAATGAATACATATAAGGGTCCAGTTTGAAACAGGACACAGTCACATCAACAAAGTCAATCGTAAAGAGATCTTTGGCAGAAAAGAGAGCTGATTTCAAAAAAAAATAAAGCTCATAATAAGCTTTGCCCCTTCCTTTTTTTTTTTTAATAAAGAAGAAGGCATTTTGGTAGAAATTGATCAGATAATATTTCAAAAATTGAGCTTAGAACTTCACAATTTTGACGTTAATAAATATTACACAAAGCATTGTCAGCACACAATATCTAAAACATGGCAACATTTTCGCATCCTCATCTAAAAATGGGATCCATCTTCAAACTGAACTGCATGTATTGCATTCAAACTTTAACAATACTTTTTGTGTGCCTTTATCGGTTTCAAAATGCTAAGTGTTATTTAGCTGTTGTATATTTAATCTTAGACATAGATGTGTTATTTAGAGAACCAGGGGTTCTCAAAGGGGTAAACCAAAAAGTTCTTTGTGGGGGAGAAAAATTAAGGGTCAACTCACAGACCCCAAGGAAACTGGATTAGAAACTAACATTGTAAATGCTAATTTATCTCAAATCCCTGCAAATAATTGGATGGCTATAGTATTCCTGGATACAGGAAGAAATCCGTCATGCAGCTGAAGACGTGTATGAGAGAATAACCAAACTTAGAAACATGCTGCAGGGTGATATCTGAAGTGCATTGTAACAGATGTCTGCTGCAGATGGAAAAAGAACATATTATGGACAATTGTTTCTTGAAATACAATAAAAACAAGCTTTAAAAATGTGTATGAAAACATTGACCTATATGCAAAGAAAAGGCAGCATTTACTTTGTAATGCTATCAGGTGGTAATTCAATTTCCTGTTAACTGAACTTCAAGTATTCTGTTTCAGGTCATAGATCAGTGGTGCTTATCATATAAATTGGCCAATAAGATTTGCAAATAGTACCTTTAGTGCTTGGTTTTGCAGTTGTCTCTCCAGAAAAGAAAATCAATTTAATTCCATGCATTGGTCTTCTCCTTAAAATTCATGCAATATGAATATGATTGACAGGACATGGCATCATTATGCAGTCTGTTAGATGGACCGATTATGCTTATGAATACAAGAGTGGAGTGAATGAAAGCAACATGTAATTGATTCTACACTTGGTCTGACTGTTCATTAACTGAATGTAGCACAGTCACTTCTCAAATGGAAAAACGATGAGAGGAACCTATATGTGCTCTCTCATTTGTTTTAAAATTCATTATGCTAATGTTTTCTCAGAATGGTTTTGCCATATTTGTTTTGCTGATGATAAGTCTGATTGAATCTTTGTAAATAATTCTGCAGCTTTCAATATTTATTTGGCATTCCAATCACACATTTTTCAACTTACATTTTTGGAAATGAAAGTGAACTCTCTCCTCTCCCCTGTGCCCCTCTGGATAAAACCTTCTATCCCCTCCTCTGTTTCTGAGGAGTTCAGACTAATTTCCCTTGATAAACACAGATGCAGGAGTGCAAGGTGGTGCTAGAGCTTCAAAACAAAAGAGCTGACTTATCCACTGATTCACTTCATAAATAGATGTGCAAAAACATGTCTGCCATTTGTCTTACCCCACTGTGATCTGATGAAGAACAAAAGACCCTACCATCGCATTTTCCATACCTCTTCAAGAGTTGCATCTGAAATGTTGATTAAATATACAGATTGTGTTGCTGTTTTCTTGGCTTTTCTGAGTAGTGGAAGAAGAGATTTCAAAGCATGGTGGCACTTTTCCTCTTTTGAATGTGGTACTGCACCCTGGAAATAATATCACTTTTACTGGTTTCAGGAAGTTATGATGCTGATCCAGTTCCTGGCAATTAAAGGCAACAGAAGCAATAACTGGCTATCATTGCTTTCTTTGTGCCAAAGATCCCTTGTATACTGTGGTTGCTGCTTATGCCAGTGTTGTTAATAATAATAGCTACCATTTCTTCAACCTTTTTATGTACCAGGCATTGCATGTAACACTCCTATTTATGTTATCTGCCCTGATTTTTACATGCCCCATGAAAAACCCCATTTGCAAGATAAAGCATTTCCATGGAGTTTGCAAGAATACACTTCACATGTATACTCAGATGTCCACTATGAAGAAGCTATTGTGCAAAAAAAAAAAAGAAGCTATTGTGCTTAGCAAAATGTAAATTAATAGGAAACATAATTGAAATTATGATAGATGCTTGTCTAAAACATTTTCTTAATCAATGGATTTTGAAACTACTATTGTGAAAAACTAATCTATGATAATGAAAAAAATCTTTTTATTCAAAGTTTGTGAGTCACTAAAACATGTTTGAAGCCTCCTTCAATTGCCCAGACAATGTCATTCTGTACTCCAGCCATCTCCACTATAAAGTTAAATATTAATGATGCCACACAGCACAAAAAAGACCACAGGATCATCCAGTAGCTGATTTGGTTTATACATAAGGATTTTGGTGGTGACCAATGAAGTGATTGCTTCATCTGGAGCCCTTGATTTCTCAGGGGTGGAACAGTATTTAGAAGTCAGGTCTCCTGTCTGAATTTTAGAACAGAAAAGAGCTCAATGTAGGGTAGTTACTCGTAAGTACTATACACAATTAAAGTAGTGAGGGAAATTTCCTTTCAAGCTTCGTATTGATTCACCTCCAGCTTTGAAGATTTGAAAGGTCATCACATTGCTCAATAATAACACTTGATCTTGAATGCTGAAAATTTAATATAGAGCCTAAGATGCAGAGATCAATATTTGATGTGGAGGAGTCTCAGTTATTGGCTGTTTATCCCCAGACCTCAAAGTGAAATGAAGAAATGAATAAGTGCAAGAAATAATTTTTCATAAATTCCTTTTAAGGTATGTAGATGATGGCTAAAAAAAAGCAAAGAAAATTTTAAAAAATTATGTCATTATTTCCTGTTCTTTTATTCCCACCCATTCTTTCTATTGATGCCTTATAGCTTTCTCTTTGCTTATCTCAAGTAGGCCCATCTTTTATGACCACAGATAAAGGCACTTTTTGTTGATTTTCTTCATTCACAAACTAGGGGAACCATGATCATGCCCTGTTGCTTCTCTATATGTTAAGGAATACAGAAGGAATGGGAGAAAGAGAAAAAAACACAGACTACTCCTTCCACAGTGGGAATGAGGGTGCCAGAATTGTCCTGAACATTTCCCAAAGACTGATTTATGGAAACTTAGTCCCATGAGGTACTCTGATAAACACAGGTTTTTAACAATCAAGTGTAGTTAGGAAATGCTGTGAGCCCTTGTATACCTCTCCTGGAAACTCGACACTCATTGTAGCACACTAAATACCCGAGGAAGTCCTTATCCTAAGGTAACTGGATTGACGTAACCAGATTGAGTCATGCCCTCCCTTTATCCTCTACTTCTATATTGTATCAGTTCTTACTTGAAAGCTGGACTTAATTGTGGAGTAAAATGTGCATGAACACACTAGAAATGGATTTATGCCTCTTTTGATCAAACATATTTGTCTTAAATATGGTCTGACAAGGGTTTAAATGCTGTATGAGAATTAATCATTGAAACCAATGCTTTGAGGACTTTTCTCAAATATCAAATAGTAGTGTCAACATTTAACAGGCAATCAACAAAGACTTCCTTTAGTGATGTATTTGCTGTTATTAAATTTCATGTGCAATTTTAAACTGTGCCATTTTTTTTGTAAAATACTCTTATTTTTTGTTATTGTAGTTGAAATTAAGTAGTACTGATTAGTCAAAGCAAATGATTTAATTTTATTATGATATTTCAATGATATTTGGTTGAATTTATCATGATCAAAGTTGAGTTGTTATAACTTACATTAATAAAATGGAAATTAATCCAACCCAGAGATAAGACTGGGAAGCAAAAGTTAAAGGCATTTTCAAGTCATTTGGATTAAAATTTGGGTTGTTTCTTCTAATTTTTGTTGACTTTAAAATGAGGACAATCTTATTTTGCTGTTTCGGAATTCAAAGGTTTATATATGTGCAAAGAATAAAAGAGCACACCATGATTGGTTTTATATACAAAAAAACAAAATTGTGTGTTTTTCAACATAAATAGAGATGAGAAATTTTAATACATAGAAAGTAGCTAATTAGCTGTCAACTTATTAACATGGGGATGAACTGTTACTTTTAACATTCGTCATGTAAGAGAGGATTTTTAATGTGCACATTAAAATTGGCAGAAATATTTTGAAATCATCCCTCTTAGAGTTATTACTGATTGTTATAAATTCTCTTGACATTTTTTTCAGAAACATGTTCTTCTTTATTATGCACAATGCTTGAAACTTGTTTTATTTATAAATAAAGTCATGTCTAGCATCAGTTCTTCTTTCCCATGTCAATCCAGATGCTCATCTTGTGCAGGCAATTATTTCTGGGTTTATTTCCCACCAAGGATTTGTCTTTTTCCAGGGTGCCCATTATGCACATATTATAACTATAATCTGTCTGAGTTAGATCTGACCAATAATGATGGAGCAATTCGCTGGTAGGGAATTCTTTTTCACAATTACCACCTTCCTGGGAAATTGCCTGCATTAGGAGGCTGTGCTATACAAAATCTTTTAGCAGGGAAACATTTATATCATCAATATTTCTTAACTTGCTTGTCTCCAGACTCCAACACAAATACCTAAAATAAATACAGCACCAATTATGTGAAAAGTGAAAAATGTCTTGCTTATCCTATTTTTCCTTCTTTTTTAACTTACAGATGTCATCCATACTGTAGGACCAATAGCCAGAGGGCATATTAATGGTTCCCACAAGGAAGACCTTGCAAATTGCTATAAATCATCTCTGAAGCTGGTGAAAGAAAACAACATCCGATCAGTTGTAAGTACTTTCATGTTCCAAATTACTGATTCTTTTTTAGCCTTTATGGTTTGGAAATCAATCTTGTCCACAAAGAAGCAGTAAACCATTTCCAAAATATCTAACGAAAGTCTAAGGATCCTAGTAAATTATGTAGCCTATTTTGTTGTGTACCTCAAATATTTTCTGAATTGTCATGGTGTTCCAGGATTTAAAATTAAAGAATCATAGAATTGGAGTCATCTCATGTACTTTTTTCTTTTCATTTTGCCATTTAGTTTTTTGGAAAAAGGCAAATATTATGGTGGCCAATAGATTTAAAGAAGAAAAATAGCAAGTTCTGAGTTTATTATAATATTGCACAATTATTACTTTCTGCTGGTATGTTTATGCATTTTAGAGCTCAATTTAATCTCTATTTACATTGTGAATGTGTGTATACAACACACACACACAAATATATGTCTTTTGGAATGGCTCATTTTGCAGAAATTTATTCCATGTGTATCTATTAACCCAAAAGTTGTTACTCTTAGGTTTATTTTATTCTTCAACTTACATTCTCTAGCTGGGTATGCCACATGCCTTCTAAGTTTTATTAGTTTAGACAGAGTTCATAAAATGTGGCTCTAATCTGTTTCCTCACAAGTAGGCTAACATGAAAGGAATTCTCTTCTGGCTGGATTTGGAGGGTATTTATCCACCTGTTTTTCTTTTGTAGCGTGCCCTACCTTTATTGCATTGCAGTTATCCTAGGAAAATAAAATTTTGAGAGTAGTGGATTGTAAATATCAAATAATAAGTTAAATTGGCTGGAATCCCCTCCCCTCCCCCAAGTTTTCCCCCTATACAGTTTATAACTTTGTTGAAATTGTAGGGTAGAAAGATAATTAAATACTTGACTTCTTAGCAGACTGAATAGATGACGATTCCTTGGGAATTCACAAAATGGTAGTTTTATTATTTGCACGAAGGAACATTGAGAATCAGACATATTTAGATAACACTGGATGATTGCTATGCTTTTCATGCATCATTATAATCATGAAGTGCTGTTTTCATTGCAACATGGATGAGTTTGCCTGAAATAAGAAAAAAAAAGCTTTTGCAAGTCAAGTTCACAACCATTTTAATATTTGCATAATTATTAACAGAGCTGGGTGTTTCATTTCATTCTTTGATTTTTTAAAAGTTTCTATTTGCAAATCGTTAATATGTAAGATCCTATTCTTGTCTTAGAGGAAAAAGCTGAAGTTCAAATAGAGTTGAGCAAAGTAAACTGTGAAGCCAGTTGGTTAATTTTGTTCTCTATAGGAAAATAAGGAAAATCGAAACAGGTGTACACATTCAGGGAATAATTAAAATTTTGTCAATATGGCTTATTGATTTAAAAAGGCAAAGGGTTGAAGTGCTTGGAAAATGGATGTGTATAGGAGTTTCCAACTTGGAAAATGTGGATTTTGAGACCTGAAGAGAATTTGCTAATGAGTTCAATGGCATCTCTAATGATTTATTTTTAAAAGGCCAGGTAACAAAAGCAGATACCCACTGGAAAAAGTGTACAAACAGCACTTGCCCTTTTCATCAGGAAATAAGCACCCCCAATTATGATGATCTTAAAACAATCTTATCTGTTGTTAGTGCTATTTTCTGCCATCAGATAAGGAGTAGAAGAATTATAGACTAAGCTAACTTTTATCAAATACTCTATTCATCTTGGTTAGGTCTCCTTTTAACATGTTTGATGATGATTCCAAAGGGTCACTTATATGCTATTTGAATACAATTAGCAGATAGTGCTGAACTGTATTCATTTCAATATTAATAAATAAAAAATAGATAGAAAATATATAAGAACTAAGAAAAAAATGGCCAGCTAAATTAATCGCTGTTATTTCATAATTCGCTGGAGTGGCCATCAAGTGTCGTCTCTTATTCATGAGAGTCAAAAATCTCTTTGCTTTTTTTTCCCCCTTGTTTCCTCTATTATTTCCTTGTTTCCCTGTATCCCTTTCTTTGAAGGAGGAGATGAAGATTTCTGTTTTATACAGTGAATCATGTTCTTGACCACTATTAAATAAGTAATAATGCTAATGACATAAAGAGTTGATTTGGGGGGGGATTGGATATTCTTAGAAATATGATTATGAGTGGAGATATATTTTCTGGTACAGGTTTAAACTTCTACATTTATTGTAACATCACAATAGATGGGTAGGGTGGGTGGTTGATACAAAAAAAAAACTGCTAATGAAGATGAAAATTAACTTGACCCAATCTGTATGTATGTGCAAGAAAATTTCTCATAAAGTCTTTGACCAGAGTGCCTTAGTGTTTGCCTTCATGCTTTGTGATTTGGCAATTTAATAGATGGATATCATTTTACTTTGAAATATGTTCTAGACACAGAGACACAGACCTCTGGATATTTGCTGCATTATTTATTGATGTTTTTAAACCAGAACAAATTATTATAAAGTATGCAATTAATACATTTATTTAAGCAATTAAAACTAGAGCTAATGTTACTAATGCTATCTTATTTGTAATCATTAATAGCATAATTGATAATACTACTAAGTTATTTCTATGTTGACCATAGCACAGAGCACTACATAGAATTTTATTGTTCAGTAGATGCATTAAATTAAATTATATTCTGTCACCATCTATAACTGTTTTAAATGTATAGTCTAAATTTAACCTAAATATATTCTCTTATTAATATGGCTTCTCCTCCCTGCACTGTTTAACATCAAACTACAAAAAGTGAGTGCAGAATAAATAGTTAAATTGGGTAGCAGATATGTAAGAAAATAGCTGGAAGGTAATATGACAAATACCATAATGCAGGTGCATTAGTTTTTTGGTGTAGATCAACTGTACTGTTTTGTAGCTACAAATAACCTTACAATGCCAGTGACCCAATTTCAGAATCCCTAGCTTATGGACAGTCCTTCACATTGTACCCATACAACTTGGACCTCACAACTTCCTCAGTAAAGAACAGAGAATTTGCAAAATCATGCATGAACATTTAGTTGCCTCTGTGTAGAAGGGACACATCATTTCTGCTTCCATTTCATTGGCTAAATCCATTCAGGTAGTCCTACTTAAGTGCTAGGGAGATGCCCACGAATAAGTTAAATGTTTGATAAACACCCCTGGGGCCAGCACCGTGGCTCACTTGGTTAATACTCCGCCTGCAGGGGCAGCATCCCATATGGGCACCGGGTTCTAGTCCCGGTTGCTCCTCTTCCAGTCCAGCTCTCTGCTGTGGCCCGGGAAGGCAGTGGAGGATGGCCCAAGTGCTTGGGCCCTACACCTGCATGGGAGGCCAGGAAAAAGCACCTGGCTCCTGGCTTCAGATCGATGCAGTGCCGGCCATTGCGGCCATTTGGGGAGTGAACCATCGGAAGGAAGACCTTTCTCTCTGTCTCTCTCTCTCACTGTCTCTAACTCTACCTGTCAAATAAATTAAAAAATACAAAAAAAGATAAATACCGCTTTTCTGTCAAAGTTAAATCAAAGGGTTTTGGGGATGATGAAAGACAGCACAAGATACAGGTTTTTAGTCTAATTTTTCTAAAGGAATAGGCCCTTCAGGTTTTTACTGGAAATGTAATGGACATTTATTTAATAAATACTAATAAGACCTTCCAAGATGTGATTAGCTGTCATCTAACACATGAGGATATAGTGATTGCCTTTGGCCGTATAATTTATCTGCATCTCATAACCATCAGATGAGTAAATATCCGAGATCATATGTTCATTGTATGATGTGAGAATATTCTGCAAGTTTTTTTTTCCATTACTTTTAAGCATCTTCCCACAGATGCCTGAAACTCTGTAATTCATTAGTAATGGATAATGGCCAGGCATTATTCCTTCATTGTGATTTCCCTTTAAAATGCAAATACTCCTGAGATCAGTAGATAATTAATTTCATAGTACCTTAATATGAAGGAATTTATCAAATTACTTTTCGCTTCTGAGCAGGGTAATTTAGAAGATGATAAAAGTACTGAGCTCTCCTCAGCCTAGGGGAGGAGAATTGGAAGAGGGTCTGAAGGGAGGTAGAGAGAAGCAGAAAACAGAGTAGATTATAGATAAATTTCAATTACCTCTCAGTTGTGCTAGAGGGAAAACATTTTTTAAACAAATGGGAGGGAAATGTTACAGTCACTCATAATTATCTAGAAAGGAAAGTAGAGATTTGGGTTCTGAATATGTTGTTGATAAAATTTTTCATAAAATTTTATGAAAAATTACTGTTTCTTTTATTAATTTAGAAAAATTTCCCAACATATTTTGCTCCTTTATCCATCCTTTGTGATTTTTTTTCTAATATCTACTTGCATGTTTGATTTAAGTAACGAAAGACAAGAAAAATTAGCTAATAAATCTAATGTTTCTTTTTGCATTGGCATTTCTCTTCTATTAATGACTATTTGACACAGCCTTATTTTTATCTGGGATTATTTTTTCTTCAAGACTTATTTATTTATTTGTAAAGCAGAGTGAAATAGGGTGGGAGAGACAGAGATGGAGAAAGAGAGAGAGAGGAAGAGATCTTCTATCTGCTGTTTCACTCCCCAAATGCCTGTAACAGCCAGGGCAGGCTGAAGCTGAAGTTAGGAGCCAGGAACTTCATTTGGGTTTCCCATGTGGGTGGCAGTAACCCAAGAACTAGGGCCATCATCTACTGTGTCCCACGCACATTAATAGGAAGCTGAATTGGAAATAGAGACAGGACATGATCTTAGGAACTCCAGTATGGATGCCAGCATACCAAGCAGTGGCTTCATCTTCTGTGTCACAATGCCTGCCCACAGGGACTGTTTTAATTGAGCATTTTAATCAAGATTCTCCTTCCAGTTTTACCATAAAGGAAAAAAAAATATGGACCCATCTATTGTGCTATCCAAACTTAGTTTGTGCTATTTTCATTTTTTAAAAAGATATATTTATTTATTTGAAAATCAGAGTAACACAGAGGGATAAGGAGAGGCGGTGAG